TTCACAATCGCACACTCACACGCACACACACGCGCACATTCACAATCGCACACTCACACGCACTTACACATCGACTCACACTAGCACACGCACACTCACGCGCACACACGCACTCTCAAACACACACTCTCACACCACACACACACACACACACTATCTCACACACTCACACACATTGACTCTCACTCTCACACACGCACACATGCACACACACACAAACACACACGCATATACTCACACATATACTCTCATACACACTTACACACTATCTCACACACATACACTCTCACACCTCACACACACGCACACACCCTCTCACACTCACACTCTCACACTCATTCTCACTCACAACACACACTCACACATACACTTACACTCTCAAACACTCTCACACACCCACTCTCACATACACACTTACACACTCACACACTTTCACACACAAACACGCATATACTCACACACACTATCTCACACACACTCTCACTCTCACATACACGCACACACCTTTCACACTCACTCTTACACACATACACACAACTTTCACACACTCACACTCAACACATACACACACACTCACACACAACTCACACACACACACACTCACTCACACACTCTCTCTCTCTTTCACACACTCACACGCCCCGAGCCATTTAAAGAATGGCGGGTGCTGCTCTTGTGGGCACCCTGCACCCATCTCTGTCTCTGGCTGTATGCATGAAGGGATTTCCCCGGGTCTGTCCGGAGTGGAACGGCTGGTCCATAGCAGTGCTTGTCCATCTTTGCAGGTAATGGCCACGTGTTGAGTTTTTAGCATTTGTATTTGTTTGTATTGACGAGTTACGCCAGGTCTCTGGAGCAGGGACAGATTGGATTACTGAACTATAAACAAGCACACTGTTCCCGGCGCTCAGTCCTTGCTCCTGGGCCCTTGCAGTGACAGCCACGTTACGTGTCACCCTGTGCACACCAGGGTTGCACTGGAGGTGAGGAGCCCCAAAAACACTGCCTCTGTGCTGCCCTATGGCTCAGCTGTGCCCCTTTGCATCACATGTTCACACGTGTGCGGGTCTGTTTCTCAGTGCTCTACTCCCCACTGTCCACACCTCCAACAATTCTTTCCTTTTAAAGTTGTAGCTCTGTAATGAGTCTTTATATCTGATATGGTGGATCTCCTTAACTTATCTTGGCTATGCTGAGCTTTGCTCTTTTATATAGATTTTACAGTGAGTTTGTAAAGTGTCCAAAAATGCTACTGACATTTTTGTTGCCATTGTATTTTCATCTGTAGACCAATTTGGGAGAACTGACATCTTTAGATTATTAAGTCTTCCTATCCATGAAAATGGTATTTCTCTCCATTTATTTAGGCTTTATTTTCTTTATAAAAATTTATAACTCCCTTTATAAATATCTTTAATTAGGTTTATAGATTTATTTTTAGAGCCTCCCTTCTGCAATCAGCTCCGGGACGCTGGCGTCTGTGTCCCCTTCCCCTGGCCAGCTGGATCCCCATCAGGCTCTGCCCCCAGGGGTGCTGGGAGGGGCGGGGTGGGGGAGGAGGAGCGTCCTGCCTCTCCCTGCCTGCTCCCCCCACCTTGCCACGGTTCCTCACCCCAGTGAGCAGGCAATTCTTTCACCTGCAACCCATGAGCTCAGTTTTGGTCTCCTCCCTCCCCCGGGGGCAGTCACCTGTGGGAGGGAGGGGTGGGGGCATAATGTGAGCAGGACAGGCACCCCCTGGCCCCACCGGGGCTGATGGTCTAGTGTTTAGATTCTTGGCATTACGAGTTTCTGGTTCTAATTGTAACTAAAAAATGACAGACGGGGGCTTGCCCAGGCCCCTGCTGGGTGACTATAAGCAGGGGCCTCGCTGGCTTCCACGTTCTCCTGTGGAGATGGAGGAGGTTGGACTGGCTGGTCTGGGTCACTGGTTGTGCTGAAACAAGCCACCTGACGCAGTGGCTCTGTGGGACGGTTCAGCATTGGTGCCGAGTAGCCAAGGCAGTTTGGCACCCCGGGCAGTGGGGTTCTGCCCTCCCCCCATTTCCACCCTGGAGAGAACCGACACCTCTCAGCCTCCCTGAGGGCCCTCCCGCTCATGGTTTGAAGTGACAGGAGCCAGGTGGGTTGTTTCTCCCACGTCCTACGCGGGGGCCAGGCACACGGGAGGGCCCTCTGGTTCTTCTGGAAGCCCGGCTGTACGCCCCAGCCCTGGGTCCATCTCCGGCATGGCTGCCGGTGGTCAGGCCATGTTCTCCATGCCCAGAGCTGGGGCGAGGTGGAGTCTGCTCCCGACGCTGGGCCACGGCCATGTGACCGTGACAGTGTGCTCCGTCTGTCTCCTTCACGTGTCCAAGCCCACGGCGTCTGCCTGCGGGATCAGGTGTCCGCCACCTGCATTCACTTCCGTTGGTGGCTGGGGGTTCCAGCATGTTCCAATGCCAAGTGGCCGGCCCAGCCCAGGTGTCCTCGGCCTCCGGGGCTTCCCAGTGATACTGCGTTCTTATCACAAAGCCATGTGCTCGTTACCCACCCTCCCAAAATAAAAATACAGAATCGCAAATACATGATCTGTACAAAGGTTCATCTTGTGTGTGTTTGCAGGCTTCTTTGGTTTAGGAACAGACTAAAAGCATTTCCCATAGTGTGACTTCGGCTGCAGCAAAGGCACTTGGATGGCTGCCTGGCTTCCCGTGGCCGAGAGTGGCTGGCTCCCTGCTGCTGGGCCCTCAGTCCCTGGACGATTTGCTCTCTTTCTCCCAGCACTGTGCTGGGCCGTAGGTGTTCAGAAGACAGAGGGCCCGCTTCTGGGGGAGTTTGTGCTAACAGGTGGGGAGGAAAAGAGCGCAGCCTCAGAGGGGGGCCCCAGGACAGCCCCTCAGGCAGCGCAGTTAGAGGTGGCCTCTTAAAACAGGTGGCCTGGGGTGGAGGACTCATGGGAGGAGAGGCAGGCGCCCAGAAGGGTCTGGACGGCGGGGACTGGTGCGGCAGCCTCTGAAGGGTGCTGAGCAGGGCCACCAGGCAGGTGCGCGGGGACCACACTGCACAGGTAACCCGCTAGCACGGATCCTCTTTGCATCTTGTTGGGATGTTAGGATTTGATGAGCATAGTGGGATGTTTTATTGCCAGTCCTGAGGACCCTGTGCTGCTGGTGGTGGCCATGGTGCGTCTGGGACAGGGACCCTGGGCTGGCTCGGCCTTTTTCTTCAAGCCTCTTGACTGTCCTGTTCCCGAGACAGTTCCTTCCTCCCTCTCCCCTGCCTCCCTCTGTCCCCCTTCCCCCTCCCTCCCCACCCCCTTCGCTGTTTGTGCCACTCCTCTTTGCTCGGTTCAGTCCTTTGTGCTCACAGCTGCACACAGGCTGCCCTTTACTCGGCTTGCACACCATGTCAGCTGACTTTGCTGAGGTGGCCCTGCCGGTGGCGTCTGCAATGGCCTTGCCCCCTCTGTCCACCGCGGCGTCCAACCTCACCTCTGCTCCGGTCAGCCTGGCCTGTTCTAGCCGTCCCGGCGTGGAGTCTTCTGTGCGGCGCTGGGCTTGCGGTCCGCCGTGTAGCCTCCAGGGGCCTCTGGTTTCCTCCAGAGTGTCAAGTGTTCAAGGAGCCCGCAGCCACCCTGTGGCCATCTTCAGGTGGCCCCTCCGGAGGCCCGATCGATCGGGGGTTCCTACCCCGGGGTCCGGCGCGCTGGCTGTGCTCGGGGAGCGCTTGCCAAGAGCCCCGTGGCAGCACGGAGCAGAGGAAGTAAAGGCAGTTGCTCTTTGCTCCTACATTACTTATTCATAAAAATCGAGGGATTAAAAGTAATGTGTTCATTGTTGCTCCGGTTCAGGCCGAGTGGCTGGGGGGGAGCAGAGGTGAGAGGTCGGGCTCTGGGAGTGAGTACCAGGGAGGGAGGGGAGCAGCCAGGGGTGCGAGGAAGCCAGGGGGAGGCCGGGGAGGGGAAGGAGGAAGAAGCTGCTCACCCCTCCCTTGGAGGCCCCTGTGGCCTGAGGTCCCAGACAAGGGGGAGCGAGTGAAGGGAAGGCGGTCACATTGCTGAGGGCACCTCGAGTCTGCATCAGGAATGTCAGGGGCTGTGTTCTGTCCCCAGGCAGCCTAGTGGCCTGGGCGCAGGTGCAGCCAGGGGGAAAGAGAGGGACGGTGGGATCGAGGGTGTGTGTGAGGGTTGCGGGGCGCTGAGACCCAGCCCACAGAGCTCTCCTAGGCAGGGCCGCAAGGGTGGCCCTTTCTGTAGGATGCCCTGGGGTCTCAGCAGGGGGAGAGCTGATGGGATTGGAGAGCCTCACAGTCTTTAGAAAACACATGAATGTCCTTTATGCCTGAAATCGGTCACTCAGGATTTCAAGTACCCAGGAAATCAGAGATTTTCAGCTGTGATGCTTTTTATATTTAAAATGTGATGCCTTATTTGTTGGACCCAAATCACATTTGGGGAAGTGTCCAGCATAATGACAGGGAATTAATTCTGGTCATTTCCCGGAGAAAAGAACAAGATGTTTTAATGGCCAGTTATTTCATGCACCTGAATTGGTTTGGTCTTCAGACACCAGCTGAATGTCTAAGGATTCTTTAATTCCCGAAAATGCCTATAAAATTATGCAAAAGCATAATCTTTACATTAATAGTTATTTCTTTCCCCACACACTTTATCTTTTCCCAAATATTCACACATGTTTTTTCATTTGCTCTTGGTAGCAGCCTTTGGAGGCCAGCTGGTGGGGCCCAGCGTGTGGTTATGGGGTGTGAGCTGGGGTTGTCCTCGGGGTCAGAGCTTCAGTGGCAGGGCAAATATGTGGAGGTCCTGGGGTGACTTTTGTTTTCAACTTTGGATTTTTATCATGGTGACACATGCAGAGCGTGACACTGACCCCGGGCGACACTCCAGTCTCGCTCGCCTCTGTTCCCCAGCGCCTTCTCCTCCTCAGGGTAGTGCACCTGGCAGAACTCAGCACCTCTTCCCAAGAAGGTAACGTGATGTGTTTTTTCTTTGTGTTTAGGGCTCAAAATTTGGGCGGGGAATCGGACTCACTCAGACTTCTCAACGCACATCTGCCCGGAGATCGTTTGGAAGATCCAAGAGATTTAGTATCACTCGCTCCCTTGATGACCTTGAGGTATTTGATTTCAGTTTTTCTCTTTCCTTCATCAGGTTTCTTACGTTGAAATGAACATCAATTGTGCAGATATACCTGAATCTTTCTGAATCCCATCCCGATCCTACTGCCCTCCCTCCCTCTCCCTTGGTACCCGTGATCTGCAGGTGGGGCGGCTTCGACTGCCCATCCAGGCCTTTCCCGCCCCCGCGCGCCCCTGCAGAGCGCACGCCGGCTTTCGCGCTGACTTCCGTGTGGCCAGCGTGGCTATAAACACTTTATGCATGTGAGCTGGGCTCGGCCCTCACAGGAATTCTGAGGGAGCGCCTCTCCTGGCCCCTTCTTCAAAGATCGGGTATGGATTCACGGAGAGAGTCTTTGCTTTTATCCACAGTCCTTACAAAAGCGAACAGACTTGACTTTGAGAGCCGTTGTAGGTCCGCAGAGGTGCAGCAGAAGGCACGGAGCCCCCTGCGCTCTCGGCTCGCACCGGTGTGGCCCCGGGACACTGACGAGCCAGTGTGGACGCGGTCTTGTTAGGCTCACAGTGTGCGTGAGCGGCCACTCTCTGTGCCGTGCGTTCACAGGCTGTGGACAGATGTGTAATGTCACATGCGGGGTTTCACTGCCCCGACAACCCTGTGCTCTGCCTGGTCACCCTCCCTTCTCCCCCTGAGCCCTTGGCAACCCCTGATCCTCCTGTGGATCATTGTGTGTTCTAGTACTTTACACAGAGTCTCACGCTGCCCCCTTTCACACGCTGCCGGGCGCCTTCCAGACCGACCCTCGGGGCCTTAGTCCGGTGTGTGACTTGTTACGTGGCATCCCGCTGTGATTGTGCTGGCGGTCCGCTCGTTCTGCTGTCGGCGGACACCCGGTGGGAAGCGGGAAGGCCTCTCCTCCACGCGCGGCCTGGGCACACGCTCTCGCACGGGCCCCTTGAGCACCTGTGGGGGCGAGGGGGCCAGCCATGGACTGCTGGGTGACAGGTGGCCAGACGCCGCTCGCAGGGGCCGCTCCCACGCAGCTCTGGTCACCCCTCCTCTCTGGCACCGAGCGCCGTCAGACTGGAATTTCTCCATTTCAGTGGAAGAGCATCTTTGTTACTTTGCATTTCACTGGTGATGAGTGAGGCCGAGTGGCCCATTGCGGGCTCTCTGGCCAGTCAGGTTCTCGCCATTCTGAATTAGCAGCCTATTCATATCCTTTTTCTATTTTTAAAAAAGATTTTGAAGTACTTCTTTATATATTATTCTGGATATGGGTCCTTTGTCAAATAAATGTTTTGAAAAAATTTTTGTGGCTCATTTCCGCCTTTGTTTAGGGTGTCATTAGTTATACGTGTATTTAATTGCAGTGAACTGTTGTAGCATGAAATCCCCTGCTGTTAAGTGTCCAGCTCAGTGGCATCACGCACATTTACAGTGTCGCACGGCCGTCCCCACCCTCCGTCCCCAGCACTCTTCCTCTTGCAACACGGAAACTGTCCCCGTGAGACACGGACTCCTTGTCCCCCTCCCCTAGTCCCTGGTGCCCACCGCCACACTTTCTGTCTCTGTGGTTTTGCTGACCCTAGGCCCCTTCGGTTAGGACAGTCATACAGGATTTGTGCTTTTGTGTCTGGCTTATCTCACTGGGCACAGTGTTCTCCAGGTTCTTCCACGGTGTAGCAGGTGGCAGAACGTCCTTCTGTTTTCTCCATTTTGTCCACCTTATGGGTAGTCCACACTGTGTCCATCTGTCCATCCAACAGTGGACCCTTAGGTTGCTCCCACCTTTTGGCTGCCATGGAGAATCCTGCTGTGAACACGGTTGTGCAAATATCTGTTTGGTTCTATTTTAAAAACTAACTCTAGGGGCGCCTGGGTGGCTCAGTCGTTAAGCGTCTGCCTTCGGCTCAGGTCATGATCCCAGGGTCCTGGGATCGAGCCCCGCATCCGGCTCCCGGCTCAGCTGGAAGCCTGCTTCTCCCTCTCCCACTCCCCCTGCTTGTGTTCCCTCTCTCGCTGTGTCTCTCTCTGTCAAATAAATAAATTAAATCTTAAAAAAAAAAAAATAAATAAAATAAAAAATAAAAACTAACTCTAAATAAGATCATTTCTTACAGCCTGAATAACGATAAACTGAAACAAACAACTTTAGTTGTTTCTTGCTTAGAATAGTAGGTTAATTTGTGTTTTCATGTGAAATTGGAATCATTGACTGTTAGAGCCGGAAGGGGCCTTTGAAACCACCTCATCTTTGAGGCTGGGTGTGGGGGGTTTGTCAGAGTCGGAGGGCGGGCCTGGGGCGCGGGGGGGGGTGTAGGCCCGGAAGCTGGAGCTGGGCTGGTGGTGGGACCCCTCGCCCGTGGTCTTGTGTTAACTGGGGGGCAGTGTTTGGTCAGCAGTGGTCAGCACCCATGCTCTCGTGGAAGAAGCAGAGGTGTGCATGCCACACTCATGGCCGTGCTCAGGCAAGGCCCGGTCTGCTGGCTGGGGGCCCTCAGAGTGGTGCTGCTCCCACCGGAAGGGGGGGTCTCGACTAAGCCCACGTTCTCAGGTTAGGCGGCTTGCCAGGTGTTATGTCTGCGTGTTTCTGGAAGGGGCGTGGAAGGGGTCTGAGCCACCACGAGGTGACGAGGTAGCACCAGCTGGGCTCGCGGTGGCAGCCTGTGGTCAGACCTCCATGTCTCTGACGTGGGCCCCGGCCCGCTCAGGCCGCTGTGGTTGTTGCTCACTTCTCCTCGCCCACGAGGAAGTGCTGGGGCTTCCCACCCCACGCCACCCGCCGTGCACCGTGGTCTGCTCTTGATTGAGGGCAGGCTGGCAGCTCCTATCTTGTCTCTCTGACCTTCAGATCAGCTCCGCAAGGAGCTTGTCATGATCTCTGTTGTACAGATAGGGAAACTGAGGTGCAGGTTCAACAGCATTTTCCAGGCCATGCCAGGCTGCAAAGCTGTGGTCTTTCTGCCACATCTGGGACCTCTCACTTTTGTTAAAGTGGTACGATAGAGACATAAGATTGAATCTTTGCTATTTTTTTTTCTGTCTGAGGATTTCAAAATGTAGAAGCTGCACATAACTTTCGTGAACCCTCACCACTGGTAAGCCTCTTTCTACGGGCAGCTCGTTTAACACATTGTCTGTCTGTCCTTCCCTTTGTTATTCTTTAGCAGGTGTCCTAGGCAGTCTCTGAGACTGTCCCAGACTCTTGGTCTTCACTGCCTTGTATGGTCCCCTCCCCAGAGGCACTGGCTTTCATGTCAGTCTTCAACTGGTGCTTAATCATCCTGGGCCTTTTAGGAACATCCTCTGCACGTTGCACCCTGCCAGGGGCCTCTGCATCCCCTCGACCACCAGCAGCCCGGCTCCTCGTCACGAGTCCAGTCTCGAGTCCACTTCCCTGGAGCCCATCGGCACACCAGCATCTTGGTTGTGTCCCCTGGAGGTAGAGTCCAATGGAGAGCTATTTAAGCCTGGGGACGATGAGGAGGACCCAGGAGGACCATAGAAAATGGTAAATGTGTGGGTCAATCCAGATGAATGGTGACTGTATAAAACAAGAATAACCGTGTTTTGTTTGGTTTAAAAATATATCAATTTACCTAACAGCACAGCAGTAGTCTGAGCGCTGGGAGAGGGGACGCAAGGGTCGGGCGCTTGCCTCAGTTTAATCAAGTTAATCCTTGATTCTTATAACAGGAGGATGCATGCTGTAATCCTTAGGGTAACCTGAGATAATAAAATACTGAGTAATTTTAGGTTGCAAGAGGGGAAAATGGAGTTATAAAAAACAGTCAACTCAGAAGAAGGTGAGACAGTTGGGAGGCGAGAGGACAGGAGGGCGAGAGCAGGAAGCTGCTGACAAGAGGCGGCGTTCACTAGAGCGCTGGGTGAAGTCCAGATATGTCAGTAAGTACATCGATTTTATTATCGATTTTATTTATTTATTTATTTATTTATTTAGAGATTTTTATTTATTTGACAGAGAGACAGCGAGAGAGGGAAGTAAGTACATCGATTTTATTTATTTATTTTAAGATTTTTATTTATTTGACAGAGAGACAGCGAGAGAGGGAACACAAGCAGGGGGAGTGGGAGAGGGAGAAGCAGGCTTCCTGCCGAGCA